ACCTAAGTATTCCAGCTGACAGTCTTTGCTGTGGCATTTCACATTAGCATTATACAATATAGACAATACGAATCCATTAACTTCATTCCGATGTCCACTGTGCGTGTATAGCTGCCGCATACAATAGTAACTATATATATATATATATATATATATATATATATATATATATATATATATATATATATATATATATGGGCCTACATTTATATATGGATCTGTTTGAATCCCAGAAAAGGTTTACAGCTGTCCTGTATATCTATGTTGGTATAAATGAGCAAAAAAACATCATTGGTCCGTGGACTGTGTGGACTCAAGGTTAGAAATTATCAATCCGTGCCAGTAGAATCTGAATTATTTTGGCCAAAAGGACAAGAGACATTTTGCCTTTGTTCTTCATGATATATAGATAATGTATATTATAAAATATTATGATTTTTTCTTACAAGGGGCTGAATTTAAAGTACACACATTTTCGCGCTCTGTTTTCGAAATAAATGGTTGACGCATGTAATATTAAGATTGCAGAAGATACACTCACTAAGAATTTGCTATCTTTAGATTTTTGGCAGATTGTAGATGAATACTCTTGAAAAGGAAGCGCATATCATATGAATTTCCCCTTCCTTGCTGACCCGGAAAGAAAGGAGAAAAATATCCCGAAGACTCAAAACGAAGATTACACATAATAGTGCAATTTTCTCTTATTTTCTCTCCGTCAAACATACAGTGATATATTTATGGAAATTCTTTCACCCACAATATTTCTTTATTCCAACCGACAGGGAAATAGTTCAACAACCTTTATAGACATGGTACGATGTCGAATACCATATTATTGATCAAAGGCATATGGCAAGGAACCATATATAAAACTACTGACAACAGGTGCGTTTCAGAGTCAGATGGTAAGGCCTTCACACGAATGGCCATCCTCTGATATCCAGAAATGAGTTACCTGAGGGTTAACAATGTCTTTGAATTCGGCAAACAGGTGTGACTTTACATTAATCAGTCGCGGTTAAACAAATACGGGGTTCTTTTTTCTTTAGCCAGGACCCATAAATGCAGCCTCTGGTAAACTAGACAAACCGTTCGTGTTAGCTGAGAGAACGATTAATTTTCATAGAAATCTTGAGGCAGAACTATTTGGTTATGGAGGCCTGTGTTTCAAGGCCAGAATGATATAACAGTACCCTCTACCAGGGCCACAGATTGATATTTCACTAGATATTTAACAGATGTGTCTCTGGTTAAATAGATGGCTAATAGCTGCACTGTGCTGTCGCCTCAGCAAAAATGTCCACAACAATAACTGCGGCCCTGGTAGAGGGTATATGAACAGCATATCGCCCTTAACGCTGGGCCGAATTGATTTCTACTGTGCGTATACGTAGAATCAAAACACCGTAAAATCCATCAGAATAGAAAACTCTGAAGAATAAAATGAGTATTGTGATAATGTCATAAATGGGTGGGAGGTTAGAGTAGAAGTGTGGAGGTGAGGTCGGGGGGGGGGGGGGGGGCAAATAGGTGATTTCTGGCTCCATATAGTTCTTCAACCCACTATTTTTAACACAACCCAGGTAGCGTTTACCTACCTCCTTCTCTCCCCGCCGTAACACTGTCCCCCAGGCGTCGACATCGTATAGTAGTGACTGTGAACACTGAAAATATCCACAAACATCTGACAACAGATCTACGTGTACCGGAGGCCCACATGGTCGTAGTATATATTTATACGCTTGGCTTGCCGTCCAATCTCTTTGTCTTATCCTCAATATAAGGCACGGTCTGTTCGCTACTTCTTCACCTTTCTCTATCTCACTCACTAACACCACTCTGGGTATTACACCACAACATGCGTCATCTCATATTGACCACACTGCCATAGTAATTGGACTATTTACACTGCATGGTGAGTCACATCTTCGGCGCTGTGTAGTATAAAGTCGGTGTCAACCGCTCAGTCAGTCAATCATTCCTTCTACTCACGCTGGCATTGTATTGGGTTGAACACGAAATGGTCCCAGTGGTAATGTGCTTGCTGATCCTTAACTTTAAATTACGGACCTTTTGGCGTTTAAGAGGCAGCTACCCTGTATAATGTATTGCGGTCCTTTAGGATCTCTGTGAGGAAGAACGTGTTCACAGAAAGAAATTTAATCTATTTAATTGGCCTCTATGTCACTTTAAATAATATAGACATTAAGACATGTGTACAGTGTGAACGCGCTTGGCTATTGTAAATTTATGAGCCAAGAGCATAAAGATTACATATTCATTAAGGCAATTGATCGCTTAAGAGACAACAGAACCTGTGTTTGGGGGCATTTTCATGATGGTAATAAATTTCCACTGTGCCAAGTATCAGTTAACAGCGAGATGACTTAATAGATGGAGTATGGAGAGTTGTATTTCGCTGAAGGAATTGTTGCGCGACTGTGAAAACGGCGAGGTCGAAAGACGCCAGAAGGATCCTTCTTTGTCTTTAAATCGGGCCTCACGGCAAAAAATCCAATAACTTAAATAGAAATTCATCCACTCGTAGTGACCTTGCAAGAAGTCAATTTTTGAAAATGTCGATTTTCACAAACCTTCTTTAAATATTTATCTAAAATTATGGGCAAATTTATTTCGTGTATGACTGTATTATTTTCGTGAATACCACAATTTTGAATTATAACGTTGCCAAGAACAATAAGAACTCGCATAGGCCTATATCAACTCACCCTACTCTCTGCCATCGACCAGCTGGGTTAAGATATCTTTTTTTCTTTTTAAGATCTTTCTCAATGGACGGAATTTTCCACGGAATTACCCAAGAAAACAGCTCTGAATTTTCAATGAAAAATCGCCCTCTGTCTTTGTGGCCCCGGTAGAGAGAACACAGTCGGTGGTGCGAGGTGCTTGATAGGAAAATTGCGTTGTAGTCCCAACTATCGCAGTCATAAAACTACATGTAGCTGTTTTCATTTCTTTCAGTTTCCTCCCCCCCCCCCC